GCTTCAACAGCTCGTCGAGCGTGTCTGTGCCCATGGATATAAGCTGTGCTGAAAACGAGGGAACAGAGCTCCGAGCTACCAGGCAGCAAGCATGCATTTGACGGTGTTTTTCTGCAGAGACACTCTTTACCAACGGTTGCCCGCTGCGCAAGGCGTGTCAAGGTTCTTCGAGCCATCGCCCTAGCGCCTACCAGTCTGATTCGTCGCGGGGAAACGACACCACTCAGTAGGCGCGGGGGGACCTATTGGGGGAGAACTGAGTTCTGTTGAGCGTCAGGGAGGTATTGGTCAATAGAGCTCAGCCACGAAGGACTCCGTGCTCTTAAACACGTAGCGTGTATGCAAGCCGGGCTTGCTGATTGTGGAGGCGGCCGTAAAGGGCTTCGTTAAGCCATGGAAGATCCTCATCGATTCCGGATCGTCGGGAAATTATGCTCGACGCTCCACGGTGGAGTAAAGTCAGTTGTATGCTGAGGCGCTGAAAGCGCGGGTGAGCAACATCGTCACTGTTTGCTTTGCGAATGGGACACGTGTCACGGTCCCGAAGGTCCCTGTGGACCTCGGAGTCAAGTTTCTTGACTTTGATAGCGTGGAACGCTGTCTGGTCTAAGACTCGGATGTAAGGTGTGTGCTCATCCTAGGAATGGCATGGTTGGAACACCACGAGCCATGGATTGATTGGAGGTGAAAGACCTTGGGCGCTACGCGCATGTGTACTGGTGGGGCTTTGGTACGTGGTACGTCATGAAACCACCTCTGCTAGGAGATAAAAGCGCTATTGGCGAGAGTAGTGGACTGAGATGGTCAACGTGCTGGGCATTGTAATGTCCGGGCTGGTAGACACCGTGGGCTGATCGTGGAGTGGCACGTAAACCACTGAGCACTGCTCTCTTTGCGAAGCAGTCGCTGCATGCCACTGATTGCGTGGTCGGACGAAGTCCGAGGCATCTTGGGCACGGCCCTTTAGATGCACGTGTAGTGGCACGTTTTCCGCTGGACGAAGTCTGCGGGGTTAGCAGCTCTTCGTCGGATGTTGTAGATAACATCGGAGCTCCAAAGGAGCGGACAGTGAGGGTGACGCGAAATGCGTGTTCACCCTGGTCTCACCAAGACATGGAAACTCTATATAGAGGCGACGGCGACGCCTTATGCTGGCTGTAGGACGTCGGGCGTCGACTTTGATCCAGGGTGTGTCTACCGTAGACGATGGTGCACAGTTATACACCCTCGTCAACGG